CTTGCTATCTGGGAGTACTCACCCTTTTTTATTAACCTGGCTAACCTTGATGTCTGGTTGTGTAGATAGTTATGCTGATGCTATCGGTTCGGGACGATCCACGTCAACAGATTACTTAGTTAAAATTCAATCTAAGCACTTTAGACACTTCAAACAAAGCCATGGTAATTCGTAGCGAGGCTTTCTGTTGTACAAATTGATTTCAACAGCTAGTTAAATAAAATCGTTGAATAAAATTAACGAATTACAAGTAGGTACCTACTTGGGTACAGAGTACAGACGACAGCACAAGCACAAGCGACATGCTTCAGCTATCCACCGAGAGCCTCCCACGACCGTTCCTTTTGACACTATTTCGTGTCAAAAGGAACTAGAAGGATTTCTGAAGCATGTCATGGTGGGAGCTCTAGTGGTAAAGTGTAATGTCCACACATGACACACGCAACTTCCACAAGGGTGGTGACCACCGCATTGTCCACATTAACAATAGTATTTAGGCTATAGACATTATTAAGAATTTGTATTTTAGTTAAAATATTTCTATCTAGTATTAAAAGTATTAATTCGTTTTTGTTATGTCTTCCAGAGCAATGTGAAACGGTAGTTTGCCCTGTGGTGCCCAACACTATATCTTCATTGACTAGCAAAATGTCGGTACCCCAGAACATGGCATTGGTAAGTGTTATTTACAAGTAAATAAATAAATACCTACTTACTTATCTAGCATGCATGGGGGATAAAGTCAAGTACCTAATACGCATTAGTTTATATTTTTACTTGTAAGTAAGTGTCAGTATGGGGACGCACTACGGATTAAATACTTAAAAGATTAAAATAAAAACAGCTTGATAGATTTCTTACATATGTTTTCATATTATTACAAATGCATTGTTTGAGTCCATTCCGTATCTAATAAGAAGGTAGGTATTAATTAATATCGGAGAAGATTAATATTTACTTATCAAAAAGTAATAAGCTTAGGTAATTTCGACATCAACCAATCACCAAAGCGAATGTATTTTCCAAAACCTAGACAGATATTCTGTGCCAGCTAACTGCCAATTTTTCTAGAATAACGAATACCGAGGAGAATGGAATGTGAATAAGATAAAACTTCTTTGACTTTTCATTAACAGTGCACGCTGACTTTTGCATATGACACGACTAGGCAGGGTAATGAACAGCAGGAAAAATCGTAATTTTGGAATTATTAAGGATAGGATTATTTCTATGATAGGTAGTTATCGCATATAGACATACTCTCTAATCTGTGATCGCATAGAAGATCACAGTGTGTCACAGACGTCATGTCACGTCACCCCGTTATCAGATTAGATTATTTTTTTAATTACAAATTAACTACTATTAAGTAGGTAATTGTTTATTTCATGCTATTCTATTTATAGTAGATCTACATTAAGGACAATAGAGTTGGTACAAAGTTCGTTTTGTGACGAAGTTTTGTCCGCAATAGTAATTGATATCTTTTTTGTTTTAATTACAGAACCAGCGAGGCTATTTGCAGTGGCGAGTGTACAACGAGAGCGGTCAACGAGTGCTGTGCTACTCTGTGCTGGTGCAAACACAGAGCCCGTTGCAGAAACTTCTGAGACGATTTGGACTACTGCGGAGGAAAAGACATGCATAGTTAAAAAAATGGTAAATTACAGGGTGATTTTGTAAAATTAATAAACCCGCGAATTACATTTTAAAATTTTATTTTCGCGAAAATTACCGCTTTTAAGAATTATTAAGATAAAGTTGTATTGTTAAATTGGTCTATAGAGCTTATTAAAAAAACCGGATACTGATAACAAAATCACCCTGTATATCATCGAAACTGCTGCTGATAACCTTAGATTAATTAAAGCTCTGGTAAAAATAGTACCTATCTATGTCTACTGCTGTGACTTAAAAATATTTTCTAGTCTATAAAGTATTATTTTGTATTATTAACTGTAAAACCATTTTGAAATAAAATTGACTTTACCGTATTTTTTTTTAAATTGCCATGCCTTAGCCATCTTTAGTTCATTAAAAAATAAAAGTTTGAAAATACAAATTTCAGTTGGCGGATCTTAATAATCTCGATGCGTGCGTGAGGGGAGTGCGTCAATGATAAAAATACATGACTCATATAAATCACAGCCGTTATCTTTTACTTACTAAGGGAATAGGCACTATTAAACTAAGTCCGATATTCGTCAATCAGAAACAAATTTGATTGAAATTAATACAGTGAATCATCACATAATGACACGCATTTAATATTTAAACTGCACAAGATGCCACAATATTTACCTTAATGTCTCATAAGTTCATAACTTATCGTCCGTAAAAAAGTGTTATTTTCTATGCCTTATCATAATAAATCGGTATTTCGACAACACCCGATTATTATTGTTTCTATTTTTATGGCAATACCAATTCTCGGCTCGAATTTATCATATTTAATACGAAGTAAGTAACTAACATGAATGACATCATATTGATACCACAGAGTTAATTAACTAAAATTTCCAGCCATTTTTTATAAACACAGAACATCGGTAATAATAAATCTTCCTGCATGCCGGGGCTTCGCCCGCGTGATTTTCGTTCTGTCACAAAAAGTTAATTTAATAGCCACTCACAAATTGCGCTTTCTATTGGTAAATACCTATTTTATGTGCAATAAATGAATAAATAAATATAAATATCCGAATTGGTTCAGTAGATCCAGAGATTACCTCCTATACAACCTCACAAACTTTACAGGCTCTTTCTAATTCGCTAGACGACACTAATTAGTGTGAAAAATACTGTGATAGTGCTTATGGGGATTATGGGTAGGGTAGACCGGGTACAATAGTACCACGGGTCAATAGCACCATTGGCGATATTTCCTCATACAAGCGACGTTAGGTTGTGTGCATAGCGTCAGAATATGCGCTTTTTGTGTTTCCATCCGCTCACCAGTCGGCGGCGCTTGCGCTGAGAAACGAAGATGTACAGGAAGAATTTTTGTTTTTTGCCCAGCTGCAGTAAGTTTTTACGTCAAATATATGAGCCCATAAGTTGCCTAATATGATATTTGTTACAAGGTATTGTTGTCAATAGTTTATCCAGGCTCTAAACTTTGTATCGACAGCGAATAATTGGCATTCACTGTGAAAATGACTGAATTGTAGGTGAAGTTCTCTTGACTACCTACTTGGAACAATTGTACCATTCTCCATGGGGTCAATTGTAGCGGTACAATCAACCCCGTGGTACAATTAACCCCCGGAACCTTATTTTATACTTACTACATAATATTTTAAATTGGTTATAATAAAATAAGTTATTATAAAACATTCACGTGGTTATTATTTTTACAATTTTAGGCATACCTACCAGGCATTAAACCCTTTTGAATATGTACATTTTAGCTTAATTCAGTATTTGAACGTTTTGTTTTAGATGCCTCGGCGTAGAGTCAAAAGTACGGATCGCGGATCAACGGATCTATTCCTTCATGAACAGACTTATGAAAAAATCTTGAAAGGTCGAAGCAGTAGTAGATATAAATAATCAGGGTCAATTGTACCAGGGGTCAATTGTACCCTCATACAAAAATAGATTTTTCAGTTTTGATATTTCTATCATTGTTATTATGCTTATTGTTGTTTCAGAAGCAATATCCGAGCCAAATAGATGGCATATTATGTAGAAACAGTTAGTTTTTTCGTTTTTATGGAAGAAATGTTATTGTTTTGTTTTTAAACTTAAGTGTTGATTTTTCATACTTGTTCCTAAATATTTTCGATTTCAATTAATAAATACTGATGATTGTAGGAGATTAAGAGTACAGAATACCAATAAAGGTGATGATTAGGTAAACATAACTACTTTGATTGCCTCATATATTATTGGTACAATTGACCCGTTGTAGGGGTCAATTGTAACATGAGACATCGTTCAGTTCAAATTGGTTTTTCATTAAGTATTCGAAAGAATAGTTCAACTCTGCATGCTTAAATTTGTAGCTTAAGAGTCTAGTTTTTACAGCATCCTAACAGAATAAGTTATATTTCATTAGATTTCTCAATATTGAACAATTTCCAAAAAATGGTACTATTGTCCCCGGTCTACCCTAGGTAATATTTTTCCTGTGGTTGCAAAGTTCTTAAAAGAAGGTTCGTACATGGTGCCCTATGTTTTCAAGTCTATTTAAATATTTATGTCTACTATAAACAATACTAATTCCTTAAGGTTTTTAAGTAAAGGCACAGAATAATAATAAGTACTTAAAGGCCAAAACCCACATTCAGAAAAACTTGAACTGACGACGAGTCTCCAGTCCCCTATGCCAGTCCCAGTACTCCCAGACGCGAAACTTTAGAAAAGTTCTACATAATTTATAAATAAACCGTAGCTTTTGAACCTGGGACTGGCTGGAATTCATTGAATTCACCTCTACTACACCATCAGGCAGGTCGTCAAATAACATAAACTGTACATAGGAAAACCAATAAAAAATATAATTTACTTAATTCTACATATAATACAGATACGCAATTAGCTTTACGTGAGCAAAGTTTCGGACAAAGAACTAAATAGAGATGATATTATTTTGTATAACAAATGTAGGTTAATCTATATTTTTATTTTACCAAATGAAAACAAATAGGTAACAAATTAGCCTTTACATCGCGTTTCATCACGCGAACTAAAGCGGGCAAATTTAAAAGGTACCTCCACCTACATTCCTGTTCCGGTATTTAATTAGATAAAATTTAAAACGTTATTTGTTTGATCAAGGCCGAGCAAGCGTTAAGGACTAACAAAGGAACAAAGCCCGAGGCACTTTAAGTGCCGAATAACCTTTTTTGAAGTCGCCGAAGTCGGTCTAAAGTTCCAGGGTTTACCTCCCCTATTACTTACTACCTAATGATTGGCGTATGTCTTATTAAATAGGTGAAATATTACCCCGTTTAACTAAAGCGTGTATATGTTTTACACCAAGTCAATGAATCATTTACTATTCATAAATTAAGTAAGTAGTGAACCAAAACAATAGTTAAGGATAAACCTCCACAAATGCGCAATCAATTTTAGTAAAGTTAAAACAGTAAGTACCTATCAATGATGACAACGTAGCACTTTACTATCGTAACGTATTGTTATTGTTGTATGTCAATACCAAAGTCCGGAATCATCGCAAGTTACGTGAATAAGACACGAAGACGCGACTTAACCACAAAATAAGACAACCTACTAGCTAGCTCGTGTGAGATATTTACGTCCTGTATCCTGCAACCAAGAGGCTTCGCAGTGATGAATATACGAGCACTTTGCACTTTGTGTTCTTCGCAATAAGGATTCGCGTGCGAGTTGGAGGCAGAGTTGAGGTAAGGCAACAAAGCGGGGTGGCGAGTAATTTGGAATGGACAGCGCGGTCAGTGCAGCCGAGACGAGACGCCAGAAATCACGATGGCTCAGCTTGGTTTGGTCGTGCTCGCGTGCGCCGCGCTCGTCGCCCTGGCCGCGGCCACGAACGTGGAACAATGCTCCGGTGAGTGCAACAATTTACTGACATTTTTATTTTCAAATCTTTTATTATTTCATCTAAGACTAAGCAAACATCGTTGCACATTTATTATTTATTATGACTGTCAATATGCTAGCAATGGTTCCAGCATCCGCTTAGTTAAATCTTTGATATCTTTTCTTTGTTTGTAGTAAAATTGTGATTCTAAAATCTGAAGTTCGGTATTACTTAGTTCTGATGTTCTAAATTTCCAAACTTTACAATACTGTCGGTCGCTGTCGACCTGCTTTCGTCTCGTTAATACCTGCCTCGGTAACTGGTGCATTGATGTGTGCTAACAACATGCGGTAACTTTACATTTGCCATTTTGTAATAGAACCATTATTTTTGGATTTCGTTATATTGGTAGGTACCTACTTAGCTACCAATTACCATAAGAATAAAGAGAATAGAAGACTACCTACCATAAATCAATATCCTTAGATCTACCTAGTAGATAAAAGGTAATAGTTACCATGCAGGGAAAACTTAGTAATTATTAAAAGATTACTTGGTGCAACCAGTTGTTTTTATAGGTATATCTCCTCTTAGATCCGGTTTAAATATCTCTTAGATTGGACAAGATTATATTGCATTATTTATTATTATACCTGTAAAGTTAATTAAACTTAACACTGCACGACTAGTTATAAACTCAACAATTACCTTGTTTTTCTGGTTTGATAAGTGGCTACTGGTCTAAATAATAGTTATCTGCGAGTAGACGCTAGTGTACCTATAAATAAATAATATTCCGTGCTGAGCATGTTCATTATAACGGCATCACCGAGATAATTAATGAGCAATAACAATAGGAGATGCGTAATCGGGCATGCTGGTCACTCGTTTACTAGGTAACATCTAACTATAACAAGAAAAAATAATTTTTTTTTTAGTTATCTGAATGAAAAGGATTTCTTAGTTAGCAATTGTTGAAAGTAACATTTTTGCTTTAGTACTTCAATTTCCGAGCGATTAGTAGAAGGAGGAGAAGTTTCTTATATTCTGGTGAATTTCGAACCGCGTCGTAAACGTAGGTTTGATGAGGGTTGACCAATAACTAGCTTAGCGTGCCCACTCTGATTTCGGATCAGAGAGAGTCAGACAGAACCATATAATATTTAATTAAGGAAAATCTGGTTAATTTAATCCTGAAATAGCCTAACCACTCTGGCACTTAACTGGGAATCGAACTGAGAACTTTTAAAAGTAGAGAGATTCCAACTGTCTAACCACTGGAACACGGAGACTTGACATATTTTATTGATACAGTTAAGAATGTGGTTCCATAGGTACGAAGACTGGGAAAAGGCTCAGAAGATTATGACCTATCTAAAATACTTGCGTACCTAAGAATATAATAATTCCAAAAA